ATATGAGAAGGGATGAGAGTGTATGAGTGTGTACGGGAGGGTATGAGAGGATGAGAGTGTATATGATAGTGGATGGGAGGGTATGTGAGTGTACAAGAGTGTATGAGAGTGTATGAGAGGGGATGAGTGTGTATGAGAGGGGATGAGAGTGTATGAGAGGGGATGTGAGGGGATAAGAGGGGATGGGTGTGAATGAGAGTGTATGGAAGTGTATGAGAGTGGATGAGAGCGGATTAGGGGGTATGAGTGTGTATGAGAGGGGATGAGAGTGCATCAGACAGTGGATGAGAAGGGATGAGAGTGAATAAGGGTGTATGTGAGTGTATGAGAGAGGATGAGAGGGGTTGAGAGTGTATGAGAGTGGATGAGGAGGGATGAGAGTGTGTAAGAGAGTGTATGAGAGTGTGTGAGAGTGTATGAGAGGGGATGAGAGGGGATGAGAGGGGATGAGAGGGGATGAGAGGGGATGTGAGGGGATTAGAGGGAATGAGTGTGAATGAGAGTGTATGAGAGTGTATGAGAGTGTATGAGTGTATGAGAGGGGATGTGAGGGGATAAGAGGGGATGGGTGTGAATGAGAGTGTATGGAAGTGTTTGAGAGTGGATGAGAGCGGATTAGGGGGTATGAGTGTGTATGAGAGGGGCTGAGAGTGTATAAGATAGTGGATGAGAGGGGATGAGAGTAAATAAGGGTGTATGTGAGTGTATGAGAGAGGATGAGAGGGGTTGAGAGTGTATGAGAGTGGATGAGGAGGGATGAGAGTGTGTAAGAGAGTGTATGAGAGTGTGTGAGAGTGTATGAGTGGGGATGAGAGGGGATGAGAGGGGATGAGAGGGGATGAGAGGGGATGTGAGGGGATAAGAGGGGATGAGTGCTCATGAGACTACATGAGAGTGTATGAGTGTGTATGAGTGTGTATGGGAGTGTATAAGAGGGGATGAGAGTGTATGAGAGGGAATGAGATGGGATGAGAGGGGATGAGAGCGTATGAGAGTGAATGAGAGTGTATGGAAGTGTATGGGAGTGGATGAGAGCGGATTAGGGGGTATGAGTGTGTATGAGAGGGGATGAGATTGTTTAAGAGTGTATGATAGTGCATGAGAGAGGATGAGAGGATTTGAGAGTGTATGAGAGTGGATGAGGAGGGTTGAGAGTGTGTAAGAGAGTGTATGAGAGTGTGTGAGAGTGTATGAGATGGGATGATAGGGGATGAGAGGGGATGAGAGGGGATGAGAGGGGATGACCAGGGATGAGAGTGAAAGGGAGTGTATGAGAGTGTATGAGTGTGTATGGGAGTGTATAAGAGGGGATGAGAGTGTATATGATAGTGTATGAGTGGGTATGAGTGGGTACGAGAGTGTATGAGAGTGTATGAGAGGGAATGAGATGGGATGAGAGGGGATGAGAGGGGATGAGAGTGAATGAGAGTGTATGATAAGGGATGATGAGAGTGTATGAGAGTTTAGGAGAGTGGATGAGAGTGGTTGAGAGTATATGAGTGTGTATGTGAGGGGATGAGAGTGTATGAGAGTGTATGATAAGGGATGATGAGAGTGTATGAGAGTTTAGGAGAGTGGATGAGAGTGGTTGAGAGTGTATGAGAGTGTATGTGAGGGGATGAGAGTGTATGAGAGTGTATGAGAGTGAACGAGAGGGGATGTGAAGGGATGAGAGGGGATGAGAGTATATGAGAGGGGTTGAGAGTGTATGAGAGTGGATGAGGAGTGATGAGAGTGTGTAAGAGAGTGTATGAGAGTGTGTGAGAGTGTATGAGAGGGGATTAGAGGGGATGAGAGGGGATGAGAGGGGATGTGAGGGGATTAGAGGGGATGAGTGTGAATGAGAGTGTATGAGAGTGTATGAGTGTGTATGGGAGTGTATAAGAGGGGATGAGAGTGTATATGAGTGTATATGAGTGGGTACGAGAGGGTATGAGAGTGTATGAGAGGGAATGACATGGGATGAGAGGGGATGAGAGGGGATGAGAGGGGATGAGAGTGAATGAGAGTGTATGAGAGGGAATGAGATGGGATGTGAGGGGATGAGAGGGGATGAGAGTGAATGAGAGTGAATGAGAGTGTATGAGAGGGAATGAGAGGGGATGAGAGGGGATGAGAGGGGATGAGAGTGAATGAGAGTGAATGAGAGTGTATGATAAGGGATGATGAGAGAGTATGAGAGTTTAGGAGAGTGGATGAGAGTGGTTGAGAGTGTATGAGAGTGTATGTGAGGGGATGAGAGTGTATGAGAGTGTATGAGAGTGAATGAGAGGGGATGAGAAGGGATGAGAGGGAAAGAGAGGGAATGAGAGGGAATGAGAGGGAATGAGAGTGAATGAGAGGGGATGAGAGGGAACGGGAGTGTGTGTGAGGGGATGAGAGGGGATGAGTGTGTACGAGAGGGGGTGAGCGAGAGGGATGGAGAGGGGATGAGTGTGTATGAGAGGGGGTGTGCGAGAGGGATGGAGAGGAGACTCAACGTAACTAGAGGGGACTAGAGAGCAGTCAAGCACGAGATAGCATAAAAGAAAAGCCTGGCACGAGAGAGGGAATTGACGTAATCGAGGCTTTGGCCGGGGATGACACGGCATGCGAGGGAGTGAGGAAAGATGGGTAGGAGACAAGAGAGCACGAGAGGGGAGGCTAGCAGACGAGAGTGCATGGGCACCCTGGCCTCGGCGGTGGCCAGAGAGGCGCGACGCGCTGAGCGGCGGGTTAGCGCATCACGGTGGCGGATCGTCGTGATGCGCCCAGCAGGGTGGCCGCATTGCGCATCGCGACGGCGGCGGCCTGGTCGGCGCGTGTTGAACAGTAAGAGTAGGGCCTAGGCTTAGTAGCCTAGGCCAAAGGGAGTCGAGAGAGTTTAGCCAAAGAAAAGTGTGATTTCACTATTGAGCGAGGTACAAATAGTAAACAAAGCATGCAAAGAAGGTGCACCACCAATAAGTTTATAATAACTACACTAACTATAGCTACAGGCAGTTACAGATATATTCTAACACTCCCCCATAACTGCCTGCAGCAGGAGTCTGTGCAGCAACACATCCTGGATGGGTACACCACGAACAGAGAAAACAGCATCACACTCCACTCACACTCCACCCCCCAAGCACCACTCCGAAGGCTCCCACACATCCACCCCCCTCAGCAGCAGCTGTAGCAGTGGGAGACGAAGAAGGGGGGGGGGGGGGGGGGGGGGGGGGGCGGGGGGGAGGGGGTGGGGGGGGGGCTGGTTGGTCTCACACCCGCCGCCCCAATGCCACTCCCCTGGCTCCCCCACACCCTCACACCCTCACACCCTCCCCCCCAGCGGCAGCTGCAGCAGTGGGAACGAAAGGAGGAGGAGGGGAAGGGAAACACACCACCCTCACCACCCCCAAACCCCAACACAGGGCAGGGCCGTAGCAGGGGCGGCAGCAGGGCAGGGACGGGACAGGGCCGGGGCAGGATGACAGGGCAGGGCAGGGCCGCGACGAAGACGGGAGGGGCCGACGCGCGGCCCCCCCAGGGCGCCGTGACGGGCGACAGAAGGGGCGACGCGCGGCCCCCCCCCAGCGGCCCCCCAGGGCGCCGCGACGGGCGACGGGAAAAGGCAGGGGGGTGGGGGGGGGTGCGCGGGCCCCCGGTGCGCCCGACAGGCGACGAAACCGCCGCACGCCTCGGGGGCGCACGACGGGCAGGGCACCGTCGCGCGCCACGGGGCGCACGACGGGCAGGCAGGCAGGGCACCGTCGCGCACCTCGGGGCGCACGACGGGCAGGCAGGGCGTCGCGCGTTCAGCAGGGCGGCGCGACGGGCAGAAAACCGCCGCGCGCCCATAGCGCGCGATAGGCAGGACAGCAGCGGAAGACTTGGTGGGCCCATTAAGCAGGAAGGTGCCTGCTCTGATACCATGTTGAACAGTAAGAGTAGGGCCTAGGCTTAGTAGCCTAGGCCAAAGGGAGTCGAGAGAGTTTAGCCAAAGAAAAGTGTGAGTTCACTATTGAGCGAGGTACAAATAGTAAACAAAGCATGCAAAGAAGGTGCACCACCAATAAGTTTATAATAACTACACTAACTACAGCTACAGGCAGTTACAGATATATTCTAACAGCGCGATGCGCGGAGAGGCCAAAAGCTGGCCGCATTGCGCATCGCGACGGCGGCGGCCCGGTCGGCGCGATGCGCGGAGCGGCCAAAAGCTGGCCGCGATGCGCATCGCGGCGGCGGCTGCTCCTGATCGTCTCGATGTGTCGAGCGGCGAAGTGGCCGCACTGCATCTCGCGACGATCGGGCCAGATAGGCACGATGCGCGGAGCGGCGCGCCGGCCGCTTGGCGCTTCGCGACAGCGGTCTGATCGAAATTTGTTTAATGTAAATTATTAGTATTTTTCGAGTAACAAGGGACTAAACGTGAACGGATGGGAAAAGGCTTTTGGGCTAAGGCACGCACCGTTGATAGGAAGTCAGGTGCTGCTAACGAATGCCTTGGATGCGTGACGGGGAAGGCAGCTGGCGAAAGGTATAGCCACTATTAATAGCTGATGATGGCGGGAAGTGAGTTAGAGAGGTCCACTGGGGTCAAGCTTCTGTACTTGGTTGGAACCGTAGCGGGCAGGGGGGTGTACAGCACGTCGGATCGTGGTGTGGTTACGGTGGGCTGGAGGCTCGACGGTACAAGCGTGCATCAAACCTCTCCGCACGAGTTGGCGCGAGCGGGAAATCGGCCTGGTTTCAGGATTTTCTGGCGGGGGTTTCATGTGTTACCATTCGCGTGATTCTTTAGCTGTTGCTAGTGACTGATTCCGTGACCCCGCTTACCAAGCCCGTCAGGATACTCCATACAGTTACCGTACGCTTTTTTTTTTTACGGTACCATTGACGTTACGGGGTCACATGATTGTTACTTGTGGCATATTTTCCCCCCAACCAGTTCTGCCAGCTAGGGCAATTAAGGGCTTGTTGTATGGGTGCATCGGTTGCAACCTTGTTGAATGACATGTACCCGTATGGTTGTCAGCTCAACAAGCTAGGTACTGTAAGTGCCATTCAAATAAACCAAGTGCTACTCCGCCCGCCATGTCATTCATTGGCACAACTGCCATGGGCCAGGACACGTTTGAGCGTGCATGCAGAGCTATCGCTGCGAGGGCACAGCAAGGGGTGGGGGGGGGGGGGCGCAGCATGTGTTCAGCGTCGGTGTGGCGGCCGGCCTCGTGCAGGATGCGCGCCACGAGGCAGCGCGTCACGTGGTCGGGCTCACACCCGCCCTGCCGCATGTGCTCCAGCGCGCGCAGGGCCGCGCCGGGCAGGCCGGCCTTGGAGAGGGCGTGGATGAGCGTGTTGTAGGTGACGGCGTCGGGGCGCAGCCCGTGCGCCTGCAGGCGGCGGAAGAGCTGCGCGGCGGGCAGGGAGAGGCCCTGCAGCCCGTAGGCCGCCATGAGGATGTTGAACGCCTGCAGGTCCACCTCACACCCCGCACTCAGCATCCCCTCAAACACCCGTGCCGCCTCCTCCCACATGCCCTGCCTGCAAGCACACCAGCCATACACACACAACAGATAGAAGAGTGTTAAGTGAGGCCCATCAGTGCACTGCTAGCTGCCAGGCGCCCTGTGGGTGGACGCCGTGCCTTGAGCCTGCAGCCGTACCTGCTGAGCTCAACCCCTCTAACCTGTGAGGCTACCATGTGAGGCGCTTTCAGCCACAGGCGGAAAGGCGTGAGGCAGAACAAGGCAGCGGAGGCGCGATGGCAGCACCTGGGATAGGGTGGTATGGCTGCTAAGGCGCAGGCAAAAGGGGGGGATATAGAGGTGCCATAGAGAGGTCACTCATGGGTGAGGCACGGCACGCACCTGCTGTACGCCATGACGACACACCTGCCATAGGCCATGACGACGCACCTGCCGTAGGCCATGACGACACACCTGCCGTACGCCATGACGACACACCTGCCATAGGCCATGACGACGCACCTGCCGTACGCCATGACGACGCACCTGCCATAGGCCATGACAACGCACCTGCCATGGCCATGACGACGCACCTGCCGTAGGCCATGACGACACACCTGCCGTAGGCCATGACGACAGCGGAGTACGCGATGGCGTTGGGCTGCACGCCGTGCCGTGCCGGCATCGCCTGCAGCTCCGCCTCCGCCCGCTCCGCCTCCCCCGCCTCCGCCAGCGCCCTCAGCAGCGCCCCGCACGCCGCCACATCAGCAGTGAGGCCCGCCTGCAGCATGGCGTCAAAGGCGGCGGCGGCGTCTGCAGGGCGGCCGGCGGCTGTGAGGGCCGCCATGAGCGCCGTGAACATGGCCTGTGAGGGCCGCACCCCCGCTGCCACCGCCCTCTCGTACGTCTGCCCCAATACAGGCAGAATGGAGGGGTGGTGCGGCCGGGGGAGAAGGGCATGGGTAGTGGGGTTAGATCAAGTGACAGTGAGCGAGGGACAAGGTGAAGGCGGTTGAGAGCGACGGGTATGGGTGCATGGTGGCAGGTGAAGCAGCAGTGGCTCCGTGCTCTTCCTCCCTGCCAGCACTGGCCCCTCCCTTCACCAACCACACAAGCTACTGTTGCCCGCACACCAGTGCACAAGCAGCGCCGCGAGCATGAGGCGGAGCATGGGCTGGGCGCGTGGGGTGTGGGCGCGTGGGGTGTGGGCGCGTTGGGTGTGGGCGTTAGGCATGGCAAGGCAAGGGCGTACCCAGATGGCTCGTGCGGTGTGGGCGCGGGGGGTGTGAGTGAGCGTCGTGGGTTGTGAATGAGCAGCGTGGGGAGTGAGCAGGTGCGGTGTGAGCGCTGGGCATGGCATGCCATGGCAAGAGCATACCCGGATGGCGTCGTCAGGGCGGTCAGCGCGGGTGTACATGGTCATCACCGCGCTCACTGTGTGCGCATCCGCCTCCACCCCCTCCCTCCTCATCTCCGCCACCACCCCCTCCGCCTGCCCCACACCACACCACACCGCAGCGCAGCGCACCACACATAAAACAGCGTGAGCAGGCAAGAAAGAGCCAGCAGGAACGCAAGCACGAGGGATGAGGGGTGTTGAGGGGCAAGGGCGTGGGGAGGAGGGCGTGAGGAGGGCGTGGGGAGGAGGGCGTGGGGAGGAGGGCGTGGGGAGGAGGTCGTGGGGAGGAGCAAGGGAGCGGGGAGGGAAGCGAGTGAGTGAAACGAGCAAGGGGCGGCCGTCTGGGCGACGAGGCTCACCTGGGCGACGAGGCCATGGTGGCCGAGCAGCGCCACGAGGATGTTGAACGTGCGCGCCGTGGGCCGCACGCCGCTCGCCTTCATCTCGCCATACAGCGCCAGCGCCTGCCGACCGCCGCTGCTGGCCCCTCCTTCCCTGCTGCCTGCGCCTTTGCCTCTTCCCCGCCCCTTGGCCCTCCCCCTGCCCGCCGTGCCAGCGCCCGCCAGCCCCGCGCTCAGCATCGTGTTGTACGTCACCGCGTCTGGCGCCGGCGGCGGACCCCAGCTCGCCGCACCGGCCCCATCGCCGTCGCCGTCGCCGCGGCCGTCGCTGCGCGCAGCAGGCGCTTGCGACGGCTGCGACGAGTGGTCGGGGGTGGCGCGGGCGGCGGATGGGACAGAGGACGAGTGGGAAGTGGGAGGGACGGGAGGCGGGGACGCATCTGACGCGACGTGGGTGGGGGACTTGCGGGGTGAGGAGTCGAGGGGACCGGCGGTGGGGACGGACGCGCTGGCAGCGCCATTGGCGGCCAATTCTTGTTGCTGCTGCTGCTGCTGCTGCTGCTGCTGCTGCTGCTGCTGCTGCTGCTGCTGCTGCTGCATGAGGTGGAAGAGCGTCCAGGCGCGTTGCGGGTGGCCGTGCGAGAGCCAGGCGTGCAGCATGGCGTTGAAGCCGTGCACCTTGTCGCGGAACGCCACCGCGCGGAACCGCGCGAACAGCACCTCCGCCTCCTCCACCATGCCCGCCCTGCCGCCCCGCACGAGCCGAAGGGGAAAGCGGGTGGGGGGGAGTGCGGGAGAGGGGGAAGGGAAGGAGTGCGTGGGCGGGCGGGGGGAGACGAGTGATGACGATACGCCATGCGCGTACACGCGTCAAGAGTCCTTTTCAAGCACGTTCGCATCACACTTTCACTGCCCCGCGATTGTCTTTCAGCAGCGTCAGTCTCGCATTGAGATCTACGCGCGTTCAGCTCTTCGGTTCATTCCTTCACAAGGCGCACGAGTGATGCTGCCCAGGACTGCCTTTAACCAGCAACCCCGCATTCAGCAAGACCGCGCAACTCACTTGCGCGCGGTGTGCCCCTCGGAGGTTTCATGCCCGCAGCTCCACCAACGACGACAGCGAGAGCTCCGCGTGGTCTACCGCCGCCCTACCACTGCGCGGAGGCCCGTGCCCACCAACCGCGCCACCGCCATCGCTTTCCTCGCGCGACCAAACGGTTTCTTACGGCGTACTGAGCAGATCTGTGACGTGGAAGCGGTGCGACGCGGGCGTACCTGCCGAGGATGCCGAGCATGAGCGTGTACGTGTGCCCGTTGGGCCGCATTCGCCCGCGCTGCGCGTCCATCCACTCGAACACCTCCAGCGACCGCCGCGCCTTGCGCTGCGCGCCGAGCTCCTTCACGACGCTCGACATCTCCACGCGCGTCGCGCGCCCCGCCCACGCGTCCAGCACGGTCGCCACGCTCCGCCCCTCCGGCACGCGCGCCACCTCCTCCACGATCCGCCGCTCCCTCTCGCGCACCTGCTCCGCCGTCCACGCCGCCTGCCGCGGCGTCTGCCGGCTCTTCCGCTTCGTCCACCGCGCGCGCTGATCTAACCTGCTCGACGCGCCGCTTGAATCGTGCGAGAGAGGCGCGACGCCGTTGGGGGGAGGTAAGTGAGCGGCTCCATTCGCCGGCAAGGCGTGGTGCGCCTCGCGCATGCCGCCGGCGGCGGGAGTTCCAAGAGTGGCCACTATGGCGCGAGAGTCCGTCTTGCAGACCGCCACAAGGGACGACGACGGCCGCGGCAGAACCACGCGAGGGTGAGCCACCGCTTTGGAGCTCACGTGCAGCGCTCGCGATGAGCACGCGGCAGCGTCGTCCGGCGCTGCCTGCTCATGGACGCGCGCGTCGACGAGCAGCGCGTCGCGCACGTCGCACGGCACCGCCTTGTCCACCTGCGCGCTCAGCTTCCGCGAAAACACCGCCGTCAGCACGGCGATGCGAGCAGTCGCCATCGCGCTCGGCTAGACGAAAATGCTTCCGACGCTTGATTCGATCGTCGCCCTGGTGAATAACGAAGGAAGGAAGGAATACTGGAGTGATGGAGAATATCCAAGGAATCGAAGGTGCCTTGGTCTGACAGAGACAAGAGAGCAGAGAAATGGGGAAAATGGGGGAAGGGAGGAAGGAAAGGAAGTGTCTCCTCTCCGTGTGAGCGACTGATCCCTATGGAGCGGAGGAATCATGGATGGTACAACCGCAGGACGCTGCGCACAACACTTCGGCCACTGGCACAAATGGGCTAACGTTCGTCGATAGTCAATCCAGCGTGGATTGATCGGACGATCGAACGGCGATCAGCAGGTAGGGAATAACACGTCATCCGCTACAGAAACCCTGTCCACTAAGCTTCAGAGGCTGTGAGAAGCTTATCTATCCCCGGCCGAAAGACATCGATGAAGTGATATTAGCATAGCTGTCAATCAATACCTTAGATTCAAGAGGAACCTTCGGTACATTGCCAGTTGAATTGCTCCAACTGCAGGAAATCTAATTGCTACCTTACCTTAGTCTTTTCTCTCTATGGAGGTACACAAAAGCACTAGCCATGTCTTCATATATAACACCTCTCGGGCGCCCCTACTTTACCCTGTCGATACATTAAGTACCAGTAATTATATTTAGCTGTGGCATACTGAGAAGTGCGCTACTGGATATTGTGGACGTACGATAACTCGTAAACTTGATTGCCATGGGTTGACAACAGGTGCCATGATTGCACCTGTGTCAACTTGTCAAGTCAAACACCTGTTCTCTAGGTAATTAGCATGGCATGAATGCACCAACCCAACCCCTTTATATTGGCACTTCATACTTAAAAGGCTTTCATACAGTGAACACTGGAACATTGGCGACCAAGGCTTCCATTGCATCAAGGGATCGGGTGAAACAAAACAAGCACCCACGAGGGAGAGCACTGGCCATGCCGCACAGCAGAGCCATTTCAGAGGCAGCAGTGACTTCAGGCCTCCTCCACAACGTTGCCCTTCTCGCTCACGTAGATGCCATCCAGGAACTTCCGAATGTCCTTCTTCTTCACATGGCACACCTGCACCCGGGGGGACCACCGCAGCAACAAAACAGCTCAAATGCTTTGACCTCTCAGACCCAGGACTACCAATTGGAAGTCATTGTTTCCCGCATGCCACACCTGAGGGGGGAGGAGAGCAAGTGGCAGCAAGCGGTCAGTGAATCTACGAATCGATTTTCTACAAGAGCTTTCGGCTGCCCTTGGTTGTTCGTGTGCGCACCAGTGAGAAAGGCTGACATAAACCCTGGTACAGATTCACCAAACCAGGAATCCTGACAGGAACCCCTACTTCCACGCCCTGACTAATGGGGGACTCGAGAACAGGGAGCTCGGCAGAGTGATGGAACCACGAAGGCTTTACGCATTTGGAAACAGAAAGCGGTGTGCTTGTGTGAAATGGGATTGGTGATGGTTCGCGGCCAGGTACGGCTGACAGTCCGCTCTGGGTCGTGGCGAATCAGCAATCTGGAACCCTCCAATACACTCGGCGGATGAGGCGGTGAGAGGTGGACGGCAGTGCATGAAACCCTAACCGCTGACAGGGGGAGCGAGTTGCAAGCCCATTCTGTAGACAGGCAAAGGCGTTCTGCACGCCCTTCCTTGTCGCATCGCCGCGCCCCATGAGATGGTGCGGGAGGGGCGAGGGGTAGTGCAGGTTGACCAGGGGCAATGCGGCAACGCGGGGCTGGCATTGTCGATGAGCGCGGCGGAGGCGGAGATGCGGAGAGGGCTGACCTGGTTGATGAGCGCGGCGAGGCTGGGAGGGCTGACCTGGTTGATGAGCGCGGCGAGGCTGGGAGGGCTGACCTGGTTGATGAGTGCGGGGAGGCGCGGAGGGCTGACCTGGTTGATGAGCGCGGGGAGGCGCGGAGGGCTGACCTGGTTGATGAGCGCGGCGGAGCGGGAGACGAGCTCGATGTCGTTGCCCTCGAGGATGAGCTCGTCCTTCACCTTCTCCGACCGCGTTATCGTCACGCCCTCCAGCATCGCCACCTTACGCACCTGCGCGCGCACCCGGGGGAGCGGCAGGGGGGACGGGAGACAGGGGAGGAAAGGAGGGACGGGGGAAAAAGAGACGGTAAGAACAAGAGGGGTGAGGGGATAAGAGAAACGTCAGCACAAGCGCGCACCCAACAGCTGGCGACAGCCACTCCCTACAGCATCGCCGCCTAGAGCACCTGGCGCGCATCGTTTGCACCTTGCGCTCCTCCGGAGATTGCGCGAGTGACGGGGAAGGTAGAGGTGGAGGCGAGAAGGGGAGGTGGGAGGGGGGAGGGAGAGGGGAGGGGGAGGAAGGCGAACGCAGAGGGTTTCAAGCTGTTGGGACACCGAATCCTGTAGGGTCCTTCACCTTGGCCCAAAAAGCGCCTAAATCTGAGACTAGGCAGCGCACACCCACGAGACGAATTATCAACACTAATGCGGATAAATTCGGGGTTGCGGCCCTGCGGAGCCTGTGAGGATGGATGGAGGCGTGCCGCTGCACCATCGCCTTGCCGCTGCGCACGTGGAGTTCAGACAGCCCAGCCTCGCACCATGCAGCTCCGCGTCTTAAACCGCGACTTAAACCGCGTGTTAAATCCCCAGCCATGCACAGTATCGCCTTCCCGTCACACTAAAGACTCCGTCCGAGACTTTACCACTACAAGCTCCGTCAACACACTAAAAGCTCCTCACCACAAGCCGCGTCACTACAGACTGCACTGGCTCGAGCTAACTCCTCAACTCCTGCTACCATTTCAAAAATTGCCGTTCCCTCGCGTGGCAGCCCCTCAAACCAGCCCGAACACCTGCACGTTCTCAGGCCTGCTCTCTCCCAAGCCTGCTCTTCCAAATCTGACTATTCTCGCCTTACCCAGGCCCACCGTCGCACCGATACATCCATTCCGCTCCGCATTCGTCCAAGAAACACATCGCGCAATAAATCGAGTTTACCTTCGTCCACTAAAGTTAGGTCTGCTAAAGCTACATCGTCCTTCGCCGGCCGCCGTTCCCGCGTGCCCCATTGCTGCGACAATCGTCACACTCTCCACCGGCGCGCGGCTTTTGCGAACCAAGCAGCTTCGTTCCCGATTGAGGCGCGAGGCATAAGACCTGACCTTGCCACCTAGCTACAGCGCGACGTCCCTGAAGCTCACACCGCCACACGCCGCGCGACCAGGAAAAACAGCACCTGCCTGCCTCTTTTTAGAAGAATCTAGGGGAAAAGCGGTTCTTCGGAAAGCGTTGCTTGGAGTGCCTATGCGCGAGTCAGAATGCTTCGCCCCGTTCGTCAGCTGCATGGCGCGGTGCCCCATAGACGACGATCGGAACTCCCCGGCACTGCTGTGCCCATCTAAGGTGACGGGGGGGGTGGGGCATTGATGAATCTCTCTCGGCGAGCTGGCGGGGAAGGGCACAACCGAAAGCCCGGTTGGTCTCTAAACGGTACGACTGACGCCTGCGAGGGCTGTTCCGAGAAGAACCCGCGGCTAGCAATGCGGCAGCACACCGTCACTAGCTCTCTGACCCGCACTGATCGAACTAGGTCTTTCGATCCAAAGCAAGCTGAGGAGTATTTATCGCTGACAGGGCGCGAGCGCAAAGAATCACTGGGGACGGAGAGGCGGGAGCTTATGTCAAAGGCGCGCAAGAGCGCAGAAAAGGTATCGCTACTGGAAAATGGCATGCGGGTGAACATGTGAGAGAAGAGGAAACAGGGGGAAGCGCGTGCCGACGGAACATGGACTTCCAGAATCAATTAAGCTTCTTTTCCCGCCAATTGCACGTCGCTCTTTGAGGCTCCCGTTTTCCCGCAGGTGTTAACCCGCCCGCGGCTCACCTTCTTCTCGCCAAGGAAGTTTCGGATCTCAATGTTGTCGGCGGAGCTGCTGATGCTCGAGTTGATGGGGAAATGAGCGTACACCAGGCGCATCTTGTACTTAAAGCCCACCGTCACGCCCTTGATCAGATTCTGCACGTGGCTGATGGCCGTTCTAATCGACGCCATCGTCTTGCGCGTGCCGAACCACGCATCGACCTTAAGCTTCGTCCCTTCCTCGACGATTTGGAAATCGAGGTTCAGGTGGCGGAAGTCCCTAAACAGCTTGCCACGTGGCCCAGTCACGCGGACCTTCTTCGCCTTAATCTCCAGCTTCACGTCCTTAGGAATGTCCATCGTCTCGGACGCTAGGATCGTCTTCATGCTGACGTAAGCCCTGAGGGCGCTCCGAGACAAGTGTGGAATTAGCGGAAGGGGGGAGGGAAAAGGAGACTGAGTAGGGAAAGGGGAGACTAAAGAGAAGGGACAAGGCTTTCAGGGCGTGCAGCGCAGGGGGAAACGCGACGGGATCGAGGTTGGAAGTCCCCAATAGTATGCAGTGCAGCTCGCAATTGGGATGGGCACGAGCGGAACGGCTGGGGGAAAGATTGGAGAGGCGGAATGGTCCGCTTCACACTCCAGTAGGCTGGTGGTAAGCCACGAAATACTCCGCTGTTACGGAAACCCTGAAATTGCACTAACAGCAATCTTTCAGATGAGGAATTATTGACCAACAAGGTAGTTTCAGTATTTAAACATCCTTGACTTCACTGGAACATGAATTCACTCACAGATTTGTACGGCAAGCTCTGCACAACTAGCATGATGCGTTGTTACAATTTAGTCAATGTTATTATCCTTCCATGTCAAGTACCAGGCAGGCATCCATCTATGCTGGCATCACAATGTTGGCATGGTACATCCATAACTACTGCATATGGTATCCCAGAATCTACTGTGACACTCTCAACAGTCAAAATACCGTAATAGACTTGACTGTACCTATATGCGTTTTAGGAAATTATCCAGGTTGTACTCCTCTGCGTACTGTGACTCATCCCATAAATCTTCCAAGCCTGTAAGCACAGCTTTCAGTCCCTTCCCTCCTCCAGCTGCTGCCAGAGCTGCATCTGAAGACGAGTCTGCTGGTTTCTGCTGGGCCAAGAACACGGTCACAGGAAGGGCAAGGTGGGAACATGATATTCAGCACACTAATTGTTTCGACATGTCAGTAAAGAGCAAAAGAGCAGCAACGTGCAGCAAGCCAAAAGCTTTCAGAGACCGCTCACTGTGCCCAACCCAACGACCATGATGCACCACCACAAAGGCATCTACCGGACCAATGCTATCAATGCCACTTACCTTAGCACCAGCACTGGCAGCAGGAGGGCCAGCATTAAAGAGGTCTAAGAGCTGCGACGTGTCCATTGATTTGAGGCTGGCGTTGTCAGCATTGACCACCGCGTTGGCTATGGAGAGCTTGAAGCGCTGCAGCCCCATGACCTTCTCCTCCAGTGTGCCCGCCATTATCACTCTGTGCACGTTCACCGTCCGCCTCTGGCCTAAGCGATGGGCTCGATCCATGGCCTGGAGGGAGGGGAAAGAGTAAGGGGAAGAGGGAGATGGAGCAGAGAAAGGAAGAGAACGATGTGTGTGAACACAGGCCACATGTTCTTGCATATCTAGGGTGCATGCATCGTCACCACCATATGTGGAACAAACGCAATGAAATAAGTCCAATGTGTTAACACCACTGTGTCTGCTGCAGGTGACGCCATCATCTCATTTAACAGATGAGTTGTTTGTTTCCAACATCTACTCTGATCAGATTTATGATAGCAAGGCGGTTACCATCACATACCTGCAGATCCCGCATTGGGTTCCAGTCATGCTCCAAGAACACCACTGTGTCCGCTGCTGTTAGGTTCAGCCCCAAGCCACCGACTGCAAGAGGGGGAAATGAACGAATGAATGAGAGCAGAGGAAAGAAGTGCGTGACGAGGGGCACATTTTATTGGGCGAGAATAAAATAGCAACTATTATTATGTTAGGGAAAGAAGTTATCAAGTGGCACATTTCAGTAGCATCCAACACATGCTGCTATTGGGCGAGAATAAAAGAAAGGAACTGATGCAAGAGAGTAACAGATCAATGCTCCTGGTGGACTTGACATCAGAAACATGCCTCGCTACTTCCAGAAATTACTAGCGTAAAACCAGAAACAGCACATACCGTGAGTTGTGAGGAGCAGCACATCAATCGTTGGGTCTGAGTTGAAGGCCTTGACCAGGTCAAAGCGCCGCGACGGCTCCACCGACCCGTCAATGCGCAGATAGGACACACTGCGGGGTAGAGGGAGAGGGTGGGGGAGGATAGACGTGGGAGGGGGGGTTGGAATTCAGCGACAAGTTTCAACAGAAATGCAGGTGCTAGTGGAGGGTATAAAGAAGATGGGCGAATAGGGGGGGCTATGTAAATCCCAGATTTGAAGGTAATTCAGAAGTGATTATGAATAGGGGTATTACAGTTGACAACCACCATGGGCAATCACCGCTTACCCAGGCATGTGTTTCTTGAAGAGGTCCTCCTCCACAATATCAAGGAATGACTGTAAGGGGGATGGGGGCAAGCAGACACCCGGAAGGGAATTTGAGATGACAGGGATACATGTAGACGTTCACAGCATTCACAGGGTCGAACATTAGTCAGGAAACATGAAGCCTCAATCTATCCCATCCAGATACATTCACTTTTGCCGTACCATCGACGGATACAGACAAGTGACCCTCAGTGGACTCACCTTAAGCTGGGCGAACACGAGCACACGGTGATTGCCCTCGCTGGCCTCACCTCCCACATCCCCTCCACTCTTACCCTCCCCTCCTCCTCCTATCCCACACTCCAGCAGAATATCTCTCAGTGCAACCAACTTGGGTGCGTGCACTATGTCATGCACGTCCCCAACACCATCCCCTCCGCTGCTGCCAGCACCACTGCTGCTGCCTCCTCTCTGCCCGGCTTCTGCTACTGCCCCCGTGGCCCCAACTGCTGTGAGAGCAGCTGCGTGGCGGGGATGGGAGGGGTCCAGCACCAGTAACGGATGGCTGCACAGCTTCCTCAGATACTGCAGCGCTTGGAACACATGGGTTGAAGCTTGCTCCCCTCCTCCTTCCTCTGCTCCCCCGCCTGCCGCCGTTACTGCTGTCACCACCTCCTCTGATGCATGGGACTTGGAAAAGTCAGCGTACAGTAGTCGCTGCAGCGTGCTGAGCTGGCAGTATCTGTCGGTGATGATTTTGGGCGGCAGGTCTGAGAGCACTTGCTCCTTGGTGCGACGCAGAATGAATGGCATCACCTGGCATAGAGGAAGAAAGGAAACGGAGTGTTGTGGAGGAACTTGGCATGATTAGCAAACAAAGAGTAGCTGGTCACACACAACCCTGCATGACTATAACCACATGGCAACACATGCTCTTCAACTCTCGATCACTAAGATTTTCCCATCCTTCAACCCCCTTCTTTCCAAGGGAGTGAGAAGTGCAAGGGCAGGACTGACCTGGCGGTGAAGGGCCTCCATGGCCAGAGCGCCTGCCTCTGCTTGCTTGGCAGTGCACTTGGGGTCTCTTGCAGCCTGTAGAGGCTTGCCATACCGCGCCTGGAACTGATGTGCATGTGTGTTGGGGAGGGGGGAGAGGAGAGACAGGAAAAGGGAGTGGAGAAAAAGCACAGGGGACAACAGTAAAGGATTGTCATTCAAACTGCTCGAGTCATTTCTGAAGCAGTAACACAGTTTTAGCAGTCTCCGTCACTTTCCACTGCTCACAAGGCCAGCAGGCGTACCTGTTTCTCAGTCCCTAGGAATCCTGGCATGAGGAAGTCGAAGAGCGCCCAGAGCTCCAGGACGTTGTTCTGAATGGGAGTGCCTGTCAGCAGCAGCCGATGCTCCGCCTTGATCCGCCTCACCGCCTGCGACAGCCGTGTCTTGGCGCCCTTGATCAGATGCCCCTCGTCCAGCACACAGTACCGCCACGTGATGGCTGCCAGCTCATCAATGTCGCTCCGTAACACCTCATACGAGGTTACCACCAGGTTGTGCTTTCTCAGATGCCCCCGCATCCTCTGCCGGTCGGCAACACTGCCTGCATACTGCAGTGGGAAGAATATCCCAGGAGGAATGTACTTCTCGATCTCATAGACCCAGTGAGCAACAAGCGTGGGCGGGCAAACGATGAGAGACGGGAGGAGGGGCGTGGGTGCAATTCCGAATCCAGAAGCACCAGGTGCAGCACAATCGCCAGCAGAAGTCGGCCCGGTAGCAGCTGCACGGGCAGCAGCTTGGCGCTCGATTGTGTCTGAGGCGAGCATGGAGGAGGCCTGGAGGGTCTTGCCCAGCCCCATGTCGTCGCACAGCACCCCATGCAGGTGGAAGCGGCGCAGAAAGGCCAACCAGTTCACGCCCTCCTGCTGGTACCTGCTCAGTGCAAGGGGGGATGCATATGTGGTGGGGGGGTGGTTGTGAAGAGAATGAGATGTGAGAATGCATGAGAGAGGAATAAAATAGGGTATGAACCTGCATTCAACTCTAAAAAACGGATTGATAAAAAAAAAAAAAAAAAAAAAAAAACATCTGCACTGGTTCCATGTTTCCAAAAACGCATTTGTCGGGCTCTACCCTCCACGCACCTTCTCAGCGTCACCGACAGCTTCACTTGCAGCTGGTAATCATCCGCCTTGCGATTATCCAGAAGCTGCTCCAGGAACCGGGCATCCTCCCGGGCCTTCCTCGCACCTTCCTTATCCAAAAACGATGGTAAAGGCAGCCCTCGGGCCAGCGGCAGTAGAGGCACGAGCCTGGCAAAGCTCTGCGTCACCAGCTGCCGCACCTGTGGACTAGGGTCGGACATCCGAGCTAGGAGGGGAACGACTAGGAGTGCAGCGTATGGTGCTAGCATCTCGCCTTGGGTATTGACTAACGAGGAAACAACACTTGCTGCACCGCGACGGGCTGGTTCAGAGAGTGTGTTGGTGAGCTGAGGAATGACATGAGTGAGAATGGCGGAGAGAACAGTTTGATCTGCTGACGGAAGAGACACAAGTGCTGCCAGGCACTGGGCTGAGCCGAATCGGACAGCAGCATGGGTATGGCGAGTGCAACAGAGAACTGGTGGAAGGAGGAGGAGCAGTTGGGGGATTAGGGACGTGTGGAGGACAAGGGCTAGGCACCGGATGAGTTGAAAGGTGTTGACTAGTGCCAGTGGATCTGCTTTGAAAAGTTCTCCCTCATCGCACTTCCCTGTGCTACCACCTCCCTCTGACTCTCCGGGCTTCCAAACCTCAGTGAGGAGACCCCACAGCTTCGGCAGCTTTGTAAAAAGGCCTGGGCCAAGGTTGTCCGCCAAGGCTCTGAACGACAGCTCCGCACCTCTGCGGCCAATCATGGCTTCCAGCGACCCTGCTGCCCCTTCCCCTTTTACAATCACACCAGCTGCTACTTTTGCAGCTGGTCCCCCTGCTCCAGCCGGAGCAGGCATAGCGAGGGTGGGATCCAGGGGGTCATCCGCCTCCCGATTGGCATCAGAGGGTGGTGGGCACTGAGAGGGGTCGGAGCAGGCGAGTGTAGATAGATTCTTGAGAAGCCTATCGTTGGGGGAAGGGCGGCGGTCCAAGGAGCGCAGGATGACAGATGCGAGGCCGCTCGCCACACACTGCTGCAGAAGCTCCTCCTGACAGAAGACGGGGGGAGGGGGAGACTGGGAAAGGGTTAGACATGAGACCAAGTAACCACAGAACTATTCGTGAGTTAAGGAAATCAAGATAGCCACCTCACGGTAAGACTCACCCTTTCTCGCTTGAGTGCAGCCATGAGTGGTTGTATGATGGGGTTGAGCTTGGAAGGCAGACTTGGGCCAACTCGTACTGCTGCTGTCGCCACTGTTGCTGTGACAGATGTGTGCATGTTGGCCTGGGAGAGGGAAGACGAGGTGAAACGGGGACGGGGAAGAGAGGAGAAGAGAAGCGAAGAGGAACCAAGTGATTCTTGAATCAGTGGTACTGCTGTCATCACTGTGTGAAAGCAGGGATGCAGCAAGAGGAGGGGTAGGAGAAGAGAGGGTGGAGAGCTTAGGGGGTAGTCTTTTACTCGGAGCTGTGTGCATATTGGTTGGTTTGAGGCACAGGCAGGGAGGATAGAGAAGGAAAAGATCCCAAAATATGCCTGGTAATTTCATTCATACTATCGGTACCCTTCGCTCCGAATTAGACATCCCACCTCCCCCAAACACATAGACGTACATGCATACCAAGCACAGACGCACATGCGTAACAAGCACGGACGCAAACATGGCATTGCACACACCTCCACAGTTTTGAGGTAAGTCGCAGTGGACAGCAATCTCCGCCTGCAGCTTTCCATCAAATCCCCCACGCATTGCTGCTGCTGTGGCTCCTGTTGCCTCTCAGCTCCTCTCCCTCCCTCACTTCCTCCCCTTCCCCTGCCTCTTCCTCTTCCCCTTCCCCTTCCAACTCCTTCCCCTCTCCCTCCCCCAACTCCACCAGCCACACCACCAGGTGCATCCCTGTTCTCCACCTCCCATGTCTCTGTCCCAGCAAGCCCAGCCAAGGCCCCTGCCAGTTCCAACGCACCCTCAGGACTCAATCTGTCAAAATGAGTTTCTTCCCCTCCTCCCTTCCCTCCCGCTTCTCCTGCTGTACTACTATCTAGAGCAACTGCCGAGCCAACACAGCCGGCTCGTGTAAGCGCCGAACTAATCGTGTCTGATGCTAGCCCCAGAGCTCGGGCATGGCTGATCAAAGCACTAGCTTCGGCTCGGAGCTTGTTGTAGGTTCGAGAGAGCTCCTCGTAGCTTTGGCCAGCATCGGGAGAAGAGAGGAGAGCCATCAAATGGGTCAGCAGTTTTGTAACAGGAGGAGATGGTCGCACCAAAGAAAGACCAGGTAGAGAGCTAAGGGCTGACGCATGCTGCTGCTGCTGCTGCTGCTGCTGATTCGGCTTCTGCAATGTTTGCTGCTTGTCAGTTTGCTCCATCTCCGTTTTCCCCAGCTCCCGCCTCTCAAGCTCCCTGAACCAAGCAGCAATGATCAAAGCACCAACCTGCTTCTGTGTGGCAGCCACGGACCCCAGGAGGGATATCAACGGGGTTACTCCACCTTCTAGCTGGTCAACAGGCCAGAAGGAAAGCAGCAGCCCCATGGCTTGGCTTGTGTCCACTCTCATGCGCACAGCTGCACTCTCGCCTTCAGCCCCTACCACCACCACCCCACTACCACCGCTCCCTAGCGCACTGCCAGCAGCAGCAGAGCTCCCTGCACTAGATCCTGCTGCTACACCTTCCAACTCCTTCCCCTTGCCCTTTCCCCTTCCCCTTCTAACCCTTCCCCTCCCCCTTCCCTCAGTCCCCATTCCTCTGCTGGCTGTCCCTTGAGCTGCAGGTGCCGATGTGGCAAAGAGGAGGGAGGTGTTAAGGGAGCCACCAGGCGGTGTGGCGATGAGCTGGTACCAGTGTTGAATCACGGGGCAAGTGAGAGATGCAACCCTGGAGGGGGGTACCTGAGGTAGGCGATAAGAGGAACGATGTGGTTGGGACAAGGTAAACTGAGTTGACTGTTGTGAAATGATATGTGAGCTAGGAACACAGTCAACGTCAGCAGCAACAGTCTGAGGTGAAGTATGAGGGAACTTGCCAGAAACACAGTACCTGTTGCAAGAGCAGAGGCCAGACACGGCGGGAGACGGCAAGAGCCGTGGGGTGGGTCTCCAAAATCAGATTACGGAGAATACATGCCAGCGCGTCCACTAACACGTCAGCCACCCAGGGTAACGTTGAGCTGGAATCTGATGACAAGGTGCCAGTGGATTGAAGGAGCCTCTCCTGTCTCGACCCAACAAAGTGAGTGTGGGGGAGGGAGGAGGGGGATAAGAGGTAACAATGGAATACAAATGGACGAGGGGGGGAAGAAAGAAAAATGCGAGGAGGGGAAACGAGAAAGCAAAGCGTACTGACAGACAAGAAATGAGGGAGAAGAATGTAAGTGACATGTAGGTTGACTCACGAGAGTGGAAACAGCAGCAAGTCGGACAGCAGAGATGGTGTGTCGCATCAACGGCCATAATCGACGGACGAGAACCACTAAGGGCGGCAAAGAGTCCCTTCCGGCACCAACAGCAGCAGTGCCGGCAGCAGCATCTTTGTTGCTCTTTGGTTTAATCCCATCTATAGCTAGATTCTCCTCTTCTTCCTTGTCGTCGAGGTCTTCATCTTCCCCCAACTCCTCATCGTCCTCCACTTGTCCACCAGCAGAAGCAGCAGCAGCCGCAGCAGCAGCGGGCTTAGCATCAGCAGAAGCATCAACAGACGGAGAAACGGACCAGAGGGCAGCAACTCGAGGAAGGGCATGCAGCGCAGCAAGGAGGGTCATGACACTGTGAGAGGGGAACAAGTGCATACAACAACCACGGCACATGCGTATGAGCATCTGAACCTGTCCCCAGACAGCGAGTGAAACGCCCGAACCAAAAACGTCTGATAGATGGATTTCATACACCCACCAGCACCAGACTACGTCAGGAGTTGCAGAAGCGAATTGAGCAGTAAGACATGGCTGCATTCACCTTCTTAAGAAAAAAATGGAAGCTTCACCCAATCCATTTGCTCACCTGCTAGTGGATGGACTGAGGTCATCAAGTTCTGATAAAATCCCCCACAGCAACCGCATCAGCTGCCTTAAATCACTTTCGTCCACGCCCTCCCCCACAGTCTTAGCAGCTGGCAGCAGCGCCTCTGCTGCCACAGCTCTCACATCATCATCTGAGTCTTGCAGCGCACGGATGCAGGCGGGGAGGAGAGAGGGCAGCAGGGAGGGCAGTAGCTCCTGGCGCACTGCTATGAGGTACTTGATGCCAAGCAGGGCCCCGTGCCGCACTTCCCACTCTGATCGGTTCTGCAAATGGGGGATGGGAAGGGCTGCATTGTAAGCCCCTTGAATGGGGAACGGGAAGGACCACCCTTGCAAGACACTGAAGGTGGCCGCTCGGTGCTCAATTTCCACTCCAAGCGAGTCAGCAGCATACAGGTTTAGAGAACACCACCTGTGAGACATTTTAGAATGCGGAGCAAAGATAATATCATCTCACAAAGGTGAGCTTTCTCTCATGCGGCTTTGAGATAATTGACGCCTGGCACGCCTCTAAGCAGAACCTCCCACTCTGGTGGCATGTCTAACAGACAGTAGTGGAGAGAGGCATACTGTGAGCATCAGAAAAAGAGACGGTGTTGATACTGTGTGTGTGTGTGGGACTACATTCTCCCATGCATACCTGCATTTGCAGCAGCACATCAAGTGTGCGTGCAACAGCCCTGGAGGGCAGGTATTTGAGCACCACTCCCAGCGCCTGTCCACACGCCTCCCGCACTGGTGCCACCACCTGGTCCGACACAAAGTCTTCCAACCTAAAGGCACACAGGGGACACGGGGTAAAGGGGGTGACGTGAGACACCCATGGCGTCGCCCCACCTGATCTGGCACAAAGCCCTCTTCTAAGAAAGAACGGGCAGGGGAGATGAATAGGAGAAAACAGTACAACAACCTGTACCGAATTAGGTTGAGATTTTATATGTACAGCATTTGAGAATAAATCACCTGTCCAAAGCGAAGATGCACAGCAGCCGAATGGCACAATCTTCCAAAAACAGCTCATTATCCGCCTGTGCCTTCCTGGCAGCTTCTATAGCTAACTGTGCCTTCCTTGCAGATTCCATTGTCGGCGTTCCACCTTTCTCCGCCGGCCTCACAGGTTGTGCTACCACCAGCGCACTCTCCTTCTCTTCTCCACTCTTCTCCTCTGCCACTTCCCCCTCATCCACAGGTTTCCCCTCATTTGCTTCATCGGAAACTTCCATGTTCAGATCCAACCCCTTTCCCACAGCTTTCTCACTTTCCTCACACTTGCTCTTCTCTTCACTCCTATCCGTCTTGGCTTCTACCTTACTCTCCTCAATACTCCCTTCATTCCCCAAATTTCGCACCGACCCCTCTCCAATCTCTTCTGATTGCATGCCATCAGAAAGATGTAAGTCCAAGCCCATACGCGCCCTCCCTCCAGAATTTTGGTTAATGACGCCCTCTTTATTCGTCACACTCGCTTCAGGGTCCTCCCTCTTACAGACCATCAACTCGTTCAAGTCAAATCCAGATCGTTCAGCTCGGTTATCCTCCTCCCCCTTCCCGTCCCCTTCTCCTGCCTCCTCCTTCACACACACCCCAGCAGTAGCAGCAAGCTTGCCCCCAGATGCGGACTCTCCATTGCTTTCTTTAAGCGTCTCAGAGCTCATAGAGAGGCCTAGCCAGCCACCACTCCCTCCCTTCGTCTCTGCCTTCGCCTCCCCCTTGACTCCCTCCAGTCGCCCCTCCATTACTCCCATCTCATCCTCTACTTTCACTTCCTCCTTTGCTCCCGTTTTCATTCCGTCCTCTTCACCTTTCGCCTCATCTTTCACCTCTGCCTTTGGAGAAGTCTCCGCCTCAATCTCCCTCTTCACAGCTACCATTTGCTTACTTACAAACTCCTCTTCTTGTACTTCCTGCTTCACACCCTCCAATCCCCAATTATTCACTCCCTCCATTTCCTTGTTAACCCCTTCTTCCTCCTTTTCCGACCTCACCATCGGCGCCTTGACCAAAGCCACATCCGGCTCCCTCATTTCTGGTACAGTCTTGCCATCATCCTCCTCCTTCACCACTTCCAGCTCCATCTTCCCCTTCTCATCTTCTCTCTCCTCATTCCCATTGGCGCTGGCCCACTTCGAAGGAACTATTGGGCGGCAAACTGCAGCACTGTTCCCATGCGCAGACATAACCTCCCTGAGGGCAAGAATACTGCCGTGACGTACCTCCCACACTGCACGAACAAACAAAGTAAAGGAAGGCAGATGAATATTCAGACAAAACCACCAGGTAGCTGTGCAAAGAAAAAGGTCCGGGTGATTTCCACCGCTGATGAAACATGAGCATTCATTGAAACGAAAGGGCGGCATTTGACCGAACGAAACTTCACTTTTCTACCCTGAATGAAACAGCAATCATTACCTGGGTGAAACATGTCTGTGAGCAGTTGTTCACAAAGCGCCAGCAAGGGCCATTCCCCCTCCTCCTCCTCCTCTTCCTCCCAGTCATCCCCCTCTGCTGCCACCTGCTCTACTGTGATCTGATGGGAGGGTGGCAGGCAGGAGCGGTGGAAGGTTGGAATAAAATAAATAGTGAAAGAAGGGCGCTATAAAGGGCTGGAAGAGGAACAATGCAACCAATGGTTGACAGATCCTGTGCATAGCCCCCCGACTGCGACTCAAACACCCGGGTGAAGTGAAAAGCATGGGTCGCATGGAAGAACCAAAAGATTACAAACGAACGCACCTTATTGCCCTCCTTCCCATCTGAAACCACGCTCTTTGTCCGCATCTTCTTCCTGCCTCCACGCTCCCCTTCCTCTCCATCCTCATCCTCATCCACCTCCCCCACCCCACCATGCGCCCCTCCTCCTTTCTTTCCCTTGCTCATGCTCTTTGCCTTCCGCTTCAGCATGTTTCTCTCCCTTGCACTGAGGGACTTCGACAAAGCGGGTGATACACCAGCAGAATTTCCACCATCACCAACCCCCGGACTGGGGCCACTTGGCAGCATCTCAGCCATTAGATCCTGCGCTCCACGCTTGATTCCAGCTGTAGCTTCTCGCTTCTGCTTCTGCTTGCCGCCAGCTCCTGCAGCGGGGTTTGATGAACCTGTTGCTGGTGCTGCTGCTGCTTGCGCTGGTGCTTCCAGATCCTCGTCTCTAATGATATCGCTTACATCCATGAATCGCTCACACTCGTCCAGACCTGTGACAACACAAAGTGTGCGGAAGGAAGAGAACAATACCTCGTATTGGTGCTCCCGTAGACTAGCTGTCTTGGACTCGCTCTCTCATCAGGAAAACTGACCTGTATTTGATTTGATACCCTGTCTGTACCACCCAGCCTGACGCCAGCCTGGCTCAACATCGTCACCATCAACCCTCCCCACCGCCTGCCGTCACCTCACCACCTACACGTTTTCGTCCCAATAGTAGCTATATCAAGAGTTAGCTTTCATTCCTACATTTCTGCGGTACTGTCACACTATTCAATGACAAGGGACGTTCAAAAAAGAGGACGAAAGCGACAATAGCAATGTGCGTCACATGGAGCTAGAAACCTGAAGCTTTACGCCGTAAGTGGTGCACGGAAAGGCATGCGTTGCACCATGACCCCATTCTACTGTCTCACCTAGTCTCCGTCGTAGGGATTGCTTCTGCTTGGCAATCGCCTCCTTTCCCCCTCGCCCAACTGCTGCAATATCATATTCCTGGGCCATCATAGGATCGGGGAGATGTAGATTCAGCTATGTTGTGACATTGGGTACGATCCAGAGTTAGGCGTGGGGTGTAATGTAGTGTCGTGTCATGGAAAATCCCGATCGACAACATAAACAGAAACAAAAAAAAACAAAAAACAAAAAACAAAAACAACAAAAAATGCCAAGCTGTAAGCTGCGCCACCAGCGATGCATCACCAAGACTTACGCAACACAACCATGAATCACGCACCTCCATGCATTATGAGCATGCATATCATAAGCAGGCGTTACCTTGCCAGCTGATGCCACAAGCGGTGCTCCATTGTCCAACACACGACAAATGTCAAAGCTGCACATGGAGAGACGTCATAGAGGAAAACAATAAGAAAACAGCACATGGATGCAGACAACTGTGCTTGGACCATTCAGGCTTTATACTTCGACACAAACTCAGTAGCACATGAATTCGTGCCATCAAACACCTAAGACTCCGTCCGTCAGAATGTCAGGCGTCTTACCCCTCGAAGCGCAAGCCGCCACCAGCAGCAGCATTTCCTGCAGCAGCTGGTGCAGCACCTTCGCCATCAGGGGCTGCAGAAGCAGTGCCATTCCGTGCTGCTAGTGCTCCTTCATCACCAGATACAGTGGAAGCAGCAATCTGCAGGTCCTGCACTGTGGGATGTGGTGTGTTCCGAGCTATGTACCCTAACGCCTTGGCTGCAGCCACACGCGTGTCCCACTTGCTGCTCTTCAGCAACCTCTTCACCTGTACGGAGGGGTTCAGAAGAGGGGATAAAAGTCGCTTGTAAACAAGCGATGGATGGTTCTAGAGTACCAAAGAACGTGAATGCGAAAACAACTAGCAAGATTGAAGGTGGGCCGTGGGGATGATACAGCAAGCTGCAGGGATAAAGCTGGCATAGGTTCAAGCAGGAAAGGAATGCAGGGAAACCAAAAGCACATGCATTTGAAGACGATTGGGGATCTGAGAGCATGAAGATCCGATCTGTGGAGGCTAGCTAACTCTCCAATTTGACGCGCGGCTGTGTCGCGCGTCGTAGCTGCTTCCCCAGCTGAAAGAAGAGTTTCGACACGGAAATGAAAGAGGAACTGGTGAGCACAGTTAAGCGTTATCGCCAAAGGCGAAGAGGAGAAGACCAACAAGGGGTGAAACAGGACGGAGCGGGAGGTGTAAAGCGGAGAAAATCTACTCTTTCGCTAAACTACAGTAATGCGAAGTAAGCAGGGAAGAGACATGGTGTAACTGACGCGGAATTGGAACAATTCGTGAGCTAGTGGAATCATCGGGGTGGAAATATTGGAAGGATGCCGTTCGTACTATCAAGGAGAATCAGAAGCCGGTCGAATCGAGTAGTACCCCCAGAACCACTTTTATTGCCGCCGACTGCCATGGCCAATGCAATTTTGAATCTTGAAGCACGAGTAGAGTCTAAAGGTTTGACTTGTCCATGCGTTCACAAAATTGTCTCCGCATGCGCACACCGCGCCAGTGAATGTCGACCATTTTATGTCTGACTCGTAGTATAACGCATTCCTCTGGCGGCGGACCTAGTTGCGGCGGCACGAGGATTTCTTGAGCCAAGACAAATCCTATTCCGTGCAGGTATCTCTGGCCAATAAGGAGATTTTTAGAGGTTTGAGAAAAACGAAGCTTTTTATGACCAGCTTGCCGGCCTAGGATGCTTCATGGAATCCAGAACAACTACAGACTTCGCGCAAATGAACTGTCTGCTGCTCAAATAAGATGACGGAGCAGCTTCAAATACCTCCAGGTTGAAATCGGCCAGGGAATAACGAAGGCCTCTCAGTGTAATCATTGGGCTTCCGAATGGCTGGATGTACATGTTGCTTTCAAGATTTGTCTTGGGGCTGGTGAGTCGGTGAATACGGTAAGGTAGTGATTTATGAAATAGCATCCCACTATTATTTCCACCTCAGAAACAACATACCGGTACAGACATCAGTCTATTTCGCCAACCTTCTCAGATTTGCCTCAATACTATCCTTGGCAGAGCGGTAGGCCGCTGATATTGCGTGCAGTGAAGGTTTCGTGTACATGTTAGCTGAACCATCTGTGCCAGCGGCAGCATCAAACGCAGCAGCTAAGGTTGTATTCTGTTCCTTGTACTTTCCATATGACTTCTCCACCTGTATCATCCAAAGACAAACACATCATTACACCATTTCCTAGTAATGGACCCCAAAAAAAAAAAAACACAGTGGCAGCATACCAACTTACATCCACGAGGAGGGCTCGAAGCCTTTGTGCCTGCTCTCTTGTGCCACCGATAGGGATATTCTGCAGCTGTCCGTGTCCACTCACACCACAGACAGACGATGACACTGGTGATGGCCTTTGACCGGTACCATCTCCGAAACTGCTGCCATCGTGCCTTCGCCTCCACTTGCGAGATGGTATCGGGCAACGGCAGACCTCCATCAGTAACTCTTGCGCAGCCTCAAGAATGAACGACATATTCGGTACAGACTTGGCTTCAGGCTCCACTTCAGTCTTCTTCGGGTCGTCATCATCACCACCACCTCCAGCAGCAACACTGCTCTTGCCATCAAACAGCGGTAATTGCGCTCCTAAGTGAGTACAATCAGCATCCCGAATGTCCTTTTCTCCAGTCACCATAGCCATGTAGCTGGACCCAGGTAGAGCAGCAATAGCTAACAACTCCGATTCATGGCCAGCTTCATTCTGACTCCCATCAACCTGCATAGAATCCATTAAGATTCCCTGCTGAGGGTGGCTGGACCATAAACCTGCAGCAAACCCATCGTCAAAGTCCTCAAAAGCATGTCCGTGGAAGCCTTCTTGAAGGATCGGAACAGGGGCCGAGCTAACTCGCTCCAATGCCAACTGTGAACCATACTGTGGTGCTGCCTGGTCCACCTGGTACTCGGGGAGGCTGCTTCCAATTCCAGCATAAGCTGCAGATTTGTCTTCTAGAAAATGAAAAGGAGACTTTCCTTGAGCAGCAAGTTGAGCAGAGTCAAGGGAAGCAGTGCAGGACAGCATATCTTGTGCTGTATGCTCATGAGGTTGGGAGGAAGAGCTCTCATTCGAAGGGAAGTTACTTGCAGGCCAACCAGAGGGTTGGTGATGCTTTGAGTAAGGCAGTAAAGAATGACCACAATACTGCAAGTTGTTCTCCTGCTGCAGAAATTGGACCTTTCTTCCATGTGCAATCATTTCCCCTCCTGGCTGAAGGAGGTCGTCTTTCTGCAGTCCTCCGGCATTAAGCCACGTATCAGACAACTGGCCGCTTTTAAAGAGAGGATGTGAAGGTCCTTGTTTAGGTGATGACTCGGAGAAGCATATAGGATCAGTAGCCATGTTTCGTTCCTCATCACGGTCGTTGGCAACGACCAGAAAGCCAGCACGACCCTTCAAGGAGCAACAAAAAACGTCGTAAATGTTTATGCAAGAAACTGAGGAATACTTATGTGAAGATGCAAAGCCAAGCACTTCATGGTTGAAAGAAAACCTTACATTTCCTCTTAGGATTGCCTTCCGCCTTGCGTGATTCACATGACGTCCATGGTTCTCGGACGAGTAAGGTTTGACAACACCCGTAATATTTACTGAAGAAGGATGGACACCAGCGCCTGACAGAGACTGCAACACATGGTTAAAGAGATAGCGGTTCAAGACTCGGGCATGGATGAATGGCTGGATACGGTGAGAAGTTGAACGTACTGAAGCATGCAGATGACAGGACGATGGAGGTAGTCCTGGTGTGATGTCTCCAGCATTAGTAAAATCCTTATCCCTGCCAATATCGTCATGACGCCATTGTTGGTGAGTAGTATTATCTCCGCTGTAAACATCGCCGTGAGTTTGAATCTCCATACTGAGCATGAAACAAGAAATTTCTAAGGAGGGAAACGAGAGGCAATATATCCTCGAAATGCGCGAATATAATGAAGGAACGTAAATTATAGACCACGTCACCTGATTATGCCGTCAAAGGCTATCCACTCAGGGAGGCCATCCATGGAAAGATTCCACGCGAAGAGGTCAGTCTTGCGTAAGCTTTCATGCAACCCGTGGCTGACAGCCTTGCAATTGAGTGTGCTTGCAACGAAGGCTTGAAGGCTTCATGGAAAGCGGATCCTGATAGTGCAGGAGTACAGACTCAAGACCTGAGATTTCAAAATTTCACTGTCGGGTTTGACATCGGTAAAAATGTGAGTCATTCCCGACTGCTTCTTGATTTCTCCGTCGTCTAGGGTTCTTAACATCGTACCGGATGCTTCCTCCGTCGCAGCAGCAACGTTGGTATGGAACATTGGAATTGTGGTGATTTGGAGCGCCTCGACAATAGCGGAGCCATCAGCGTCACACTTTCGGACAGCAGTCAAAAAAATGATACCCGAGTGTTCTGACATTTTGAGAATCTGCCGATGGAGATGGCGAGGCAATGATCGGGCATGAGCGAGCTGAAAGGGACAATCTGTTCACCTGACCAGACCACACCACAACCTGACTCGCACAACACAGCATAGCTCGTTTTTTTGTAACATCAATAGTCCATAAATGCAATACGGTACTTCAAATTGTATGGCCAGCTGGTTGTGGAATTATAGGCTGTTCTTTTCTGTGATAGGCACAGCAGTTCATGAAGCTTCACGAAATTTTTATTTTAAACATAAGAAACATTAATACATATAATAAGACAATGGAAAGGGCAAAAGGGCAACAAAATGCATGACACATTAATTTATGCTACCGTCACAATATCTCAACCGTTTTTTCATTCCATTCGTTGAGGAGAAGGAGCCACTTTCTGTGAACTGAAGTTGAGGACATTTCCTGTGTAACCTGCAAAGAGAGACAGACACAGGAGCTGAGAGTCTGGAAAAATCACAGATTCCTGGGACAAAAGAAGTCAGACTGGACTTGGCTCTGAGGTAACTGGGCACTAAGATTACTGAAATTGCTGACAGCAACATTTCAATTTAAAAAGGAAACTCACCTAGACGTGGGTCCCAACCCCTGGCTTTGAGTTCTCTGTACTCCTGAGCCAAGGCACAGCAAGGGCAGAAGAGGTGTAGTGCAGCGTCCACGCAGGGCCTGCTGGGCAGGCCATACTTATCCCTCAGCATGCCACGGAAGCCTGCAAGAGTTATCGGGGATGATGCACTAGTCAGTACTGAGGGTGTGTGTTTAATCACGCTTGCAAGTAGCTGAGGAAAATGGAGCAGAGGCGTCACCTTTGGAGTAGAGGCAGCCGCACATCCCGACCGTGAAGTACTGGATCAATGCCCAGCAGCAGCAGGCAAAGGTGGCGTCTGCGTTCAGTCGGCACATTCAGTGACGCAGAAAAGCGGTTGAGGGTGGTGGGGTGGAAGGAGAGGGGAGAAGCGAGAAAAGAATAAGGGAACGGTAACAACCGCTGCCAGTCAGAATAGATCAGGCAAAGAACTCATAGAGCTCCAAGTTGAGGGTTTTGCCCTGAACAGCTTTAGGTGCACTATCGAACATGAAGTACGACCACATCAAGGTAGCATGATCGTATGTGACGGCAAATTGGCCTCGTGAGCTGAACGGGAAGTGCTTGTAGTTTAAGAATGCTGGCCCCAGAAAGAAGTGTGAGTAGAGGGAGTGCAGCAGAACATGTTGGTTGAAATGATAAGGGTGGAATGTGAAGATAATCAGGGGCACGCAAAGCCAAGGCGCTGCTTTTTCAGCTTGCCACTTGGCTCCTACGGCACACAAACTAGTATGTTTTCATTGAGCTGGAATCAGTCCCGCAACTCCCTTAAGTGGTCGCCGAATGGCTGCTTCACGACGCTGCGATATTGACCACACCCTGTTGAGGGAGCTCGCAGGATTATTGGTCGAGGAGTGCAACCTGACTGCAGCAACCTTTCTGGTAAGACACAGAAGCAAGTCGGACGGTAGTGACGGAGATCTATCGGCATCTTGCTGCTAAACAGAAAAGGGGAGTAATATAGCGGAGGATGAACCTGTAAAGCCGTCAGTTGAGATTTCGGCGATGCGGCCAGCGAGAACGCAGGGGCAGCACAACGCGCACAGACCTGCGAGGACACGTGATGCCAGGAGGGAGGAGGTAGAAAAGGAGGATCAAGAAAGAGAAGGATGGTCATGGAAGGTACACCAGCCCTGGAATTTTCGAGAGCGATTGGCCTGGAGGGGAGCTGGAAAGTAAAAATGGGTGGGGCGCAGTTAAAATTGCGGTTAACAGCAGGTATATTTCGATGTCTAAAGCAAGAAGCAGGCGAGATACGGAACGGAACGAGGGATGATGGTATTCGCTTGGCGGCTCGATGGAGGAGGAGACGAAGAGACGATTCCCACGAGCTGTTGACGATTGTTGCGAGCTGCCACGGGGCTGTACAGCTGGCGATCGTCGTGAGAGACAGGAGACAAGAAAAACATTCGAGCGGACGATGTTCGGTAGAAGAGAGGGAGGCTGAAGAGGCTCGAGTCGATATTCGCGGCTCGCACCCACTCCGGACAGTCGGATATGCAGTTGCCGGCGACGATGGTGAATAATAACAGATCTGGCGAGTGACTTACATGTCTTGCCGTCTTTGTGGCATTCCAACAGTCCAGAGGACCAAGCCCCTGGCGTTACGCCTTTCTTCTCCGCTGAGGAAGCCGATATGGCGAAAAGTTCTCAGGTAGTTGCACTCCGCAAGAAAGCAGTCCGCGCCTTTCGAGCACCAGAATTGTTCGTTCGCACGCCACTTGTTTGGCGAATCAGTGCGCGTCCTCGCTGTAAGCCGTTTATCTATCCACTTGGCCCGCCAATAGCCGTTGCTGCTACGTGAATCTTATGCGATACTCTGAATGAACATAAGAAGTATCGATGGTGGCGTTGCTGATTATATCCCCCGTTGTTCCAAGCGGAAAGCGAGAGCCAACTATATCCCGGAAGGGCGGAGCAGTTGATGGCGTTTTCAGAAGCCTCGAGCTTCGCAAAACCTGACAGGAATGGCTATGGAGATTCCATTTATCACCATGCGAGCTTAGATTCCAATTCTGGGTAGGACTGATAGTGGCTGGAGAAGCTGTGAGCGAGTCGTCGAATCGAGGAAGAGATGTGAGTGATCAGGAAAATTGGTTTGCGCAGTGAGCACTGGGAACACTTGTGAAAGTGAGAAAGATGGAATGGTTGCGAGATGCAATGCAAGCAAGGTGACTTGGCAAGGAATGAAGGAATCAGCTGCGAATCGCATTGTGCTTGACAGCTCCAATTATTCATTCACTCCAATAAATCAGGTTACCCTCCCCGTCAGATATATTTCGGAACCACGAGACTCGTTACGACCTCAACCACTTGCTTTCGTTACAATTCGCAGCGAATCCCAACCAACCAAACGCGTGCCTTGGAAAGCCAGGGATGGTGGCTACAAATAATGCGGTGATGGTTTTATGACAGGGATACAACAGCACTCACGTTCTCGACATGAGGAAGTTCACAACAAAAAGGAGCCTTTATTGATGTGGGACATGTAAGGGGGGGCCATTGAACCAAGCCTTATGCAGTAGTAGTGTTCTTTACGATATAATATATCATGTCCACTTGCGGAAATACAGCAATGCCATTATGCTGTTGTTTTTTGTAACCCGACGAAAGGCGATTCACATGTTATTTGTTAGGAATAGTAATTATTAAAGCATCACTGTGCACTCCTTACCGTAGCAATCGAAGCACGCACTACCAAGGATGAAAGCGAAAAGGCAGAAGTGACGCGAAGCGCCGTACGGTTACGAAAAGGATATGGACCGTCGGACAGACAGCATCAGGCAGCAGCAGTGGCGAGGATTCTGCTCTGACAGTTTCGTAACTGTCTGGAGTCGCACGGTTGGATTTCGTTGTAATAAGGGAATGTACCCCTTAGAGTACATGGCTAGCTAGGTCGATTCGTATTCCTTCCTGTACTCTTATTTATACCTTTGTACTTGCATGTTTTGTTGGGCTGAGAAAGCCCTTAGGATCTTTCAAGGCTAAGATCGGGGTTGAAGTAGGAATGTTGTAGTTTCAGAAGCGTTTAATATCAGAGTTGGTGAACCACCTTGTACTGGTGTGTGAGAACAAGATATGTTGATTAATAGCAGGGAAATACAAGGCTTTTATTGTCAGAGGTCCACTGGTGATCCCCTGATTGATCCTAGGGAAGGGTTACAGGCAAGGCTGATTTTATCAGGGTAATTACCCTGATTTCAGGGTGATTTCAGGCTTTCCACTTCGTGGAGACTGAAATTTCAGAGTTATTGAATTTCCAGCCCTGATCCAATCAGAGTAATAGTTTAGCTATCCCTGATTTTGAGTACAGTGTAACAGACTAGGCTGTTAGTGGACCCTGACTTAACAGAGTATCGACTGTGTGGACCCTGACTTATCGAGAAGAAGTTTCTCGGAAGTTTCCTTCCGATGACCCCGCCTTGGATTGATCGCAGTGATCCCCCCACATGTGCGTAATCCCCCCCCCCCCCTTCCCGCTTTATCGAGACGAAGTTTCGAAGAAACTTCGTACTGATCGAAACTTCAAGACTTTATGGAGAGTGGGGATATTTTCCCCGACTTATCGAGAGGAAGTTTCTCGGAAGTTTCCTTCCGATGACCCCGCCTTGGTTTGATCGCAGTGATCCCCCCACATGTGCGTAATCCCCCCCCTTCCCGCTTTATCGAGACGAAGTTTCTTCGAAACTTCGTCCTGATCGAAACTTCGAGACTTTATGGAGAGTGGGGGTATTTTCCCCGGTAACAAAGCGCGCGTTACTACTCTGATGTTCAGTTCTCGACCCTGAACAATCAGTGTTAACTACTTTACAACCCTGAGCAATCAGGGTACTGCTTTTCTGGAAAATGTGCACCCATAATAGAGGGGGAAAATTTTCCCCGGAATCAGGGAAGCTTAAAATGAAACGTCAGCCCTGGTTACAGGCTCGTTGTCCTGGGGGGTTATGGGCGCACTGAGCCGCTAGTTAAAAATCCCTTTTATCCCAATGGTCTAGTGGTTGGGATTCTGACATGGTATCAGAGCGAAGGTCTCGGGTTCGAATCCCAGTGTGTGAACTTCGGGCATCCCAGTGCAAGGGGGTGTCAGAGGTCCACTGGTGATCCCCGATTGATCCTAGGGAAGGGTTACAGGCTCGTTGTGTCAAACATATATGCTATAGTCTGTCTAGGCTGTAGTGGGGTAGTTCATATAGGGTACAACACTTTTATGTTTCCCACTTGTACCCACCTACTTGCTAGTTCAGTCATTCCTTCCTTCACTATTTTGACATGGTATTATGAGCAGGTTCCCTAGTGGGAACGTTTTTTTTAGGGCCCACCACGATCACTTTTTTTTTCCTGCCCTGCCCGAAGCGCGCCTCGCGCATGCCTCACCTGCGCCGTTGCGCACCCTGCCCTAGAGCCGCCCGTCGCGGCCCTGCCTTCACAGCCCGTCGCGGCCCTGCCCTAACGGCCCGTCACGGCCCCCTGCCTTCTCGGCCCATCGCGGCCCTGCCCTGCCGCCACCCCCGGCCCTACCCTGCCGCCCGCCGCGGCCTCTGCCCTGCCGCTGCTCGTCGCGGCCCTGCCCTAACGGCCCGTCGCGACCCCCCCCTTGCCTTCTCGGCCCGTCGCGGCCCTGCCCTGCCGCCACATGCGGCCCTGCCCTGCTGCCGCCCTGTCGCGGCCCTGCACTGCCGCCGCCCCGTCGCGGCCCTGCCCTTCAGCCGCCCCAGTCGCGGCCCTGCTCTACCGCCGCCAAGTAGCGGCCCTGCCCTGCTACCGCCCCAGTCGCGGCCCTGACCTAACCACCAACTGCGGCCCTGCCCTGCACCCGCCCCTGGTAAGCACCCGCGCCGCCCAGCCGAGCCGCGCCGCTCCTCCGAGCCGCGCCGCCCTGCCGCGCCGCGCCGCCAGGATCCGACCGCGCCGCCCAGCCGAGCCGTGCCGCACTACCGAGCCGCGCCGTCCTGCCGAGCCACGCCGCCCTACTTAGCCGCACTGCCCTGCCCGCGCTGCTCCTGATGCTACTGCTGCTTCTGCTGCCACTGCTGCTACTGCTGCTACTGCCGCTATGGCTAGCCCTACTGTTCTTACCTTCGATGCTGAGGGGCGTGCGGTTGACTTTGACGTGTGGGTTGATGACCTGCAACTCTTTCTTTAGTGTGACTCTAATGACGGACTATCCCTTTTCGATCACACGTCCGGAGTCTCTCCTGCACCTGCTGCCACTGCTGACAGTACGGTTCGCTCGCAGTGGACCACTCATGACGCAGTTGCTCGCCTTGCTGTTCGAAGTCACATGCCGTCTGCTGAGCGCACGCACTTTGGCCAGTACAAGACTGCTAAGTCTTTCTACGACGCTGTCGTAGCGCGCTACTCCTCCTCTGCCACTGCTGCCCTCAGCCGCCTCATGCTGCCGTACCTGTTCCTTGACCTTGCCGCCTTTGCCACAGTCGCTGACCTCATTACTCACCTCCGCACTAGTGAGGCCCGCTACCGCACTGCGCTTCCCACTAAGTTCTGTGCCAAGAACCCCCCCCCCCCCCCATGTACATCACCCTTTACTACCTAGTCACCCGCCTCCCTGACTCCCTTGCTTCAGTCAGAGACCACTTTCTCTCCCTTTGCCCCACCGAGCTCACCGTCGACCTGCTAGAGGAGCGCCTCACTGCAGCTGAGAAGAGTATCGTTGCTGTAGGTGCTTCTCGCGGCGACCCTCGCGCCCCTTTCTTTGAGGGGCGTTCCCCTGTCCCCCTTCTCCCCTCTGTTGCTTCTGCTGCTGCTGTCGACCTCGTTGGCACTGAGGAGGTCGGGGCTGCGTCTGCTCCTAGTGGGAGGCGCCGCAACAGCAAGGGCAAGGGGGGCAAGGGTGGTGGAGGGGACGGTGGGGGCGGCGGTGGAGGCGGTGGAGGAGGCGGAGGGGGTGGCGGTGGAGGTGGGGGTGGTGGCGGGAGTGGGGGCTTCGGTGGCGGCGGTGGGGGTGGTGGAGGCAGCGGCAGCGGCGGTGGAGGCAGCGGCAGCGGTGGTGGAGGTGGCGGCGGCGGTGGTGCTGGTCAAGGTGGAGCC